GTCAGCGGCGGCGTGGCGCCGGCGGCGTTGCAAATTTTCCTGTATTTTTTTTATAAAAGACGCGATCTACTCCTTCACCTGGTTTATTTAAATTTCAACACGATGCTTTTTAATACCATTTTCGGCGAAAAAAGGAAAATGTTAGTATATTACATACTTGAATTAGATTAGGTACAAAAAAAAATAATTTTACAAAATGAACGCTTACTTTAATAGCCTCAGAAACAGTTTTTTTACATACTTATTAAGGTTACTTATTATTATCAACCTTGCATATTTTATAATTATCATGAATGAATATGATATCATTTTCATCACATCATTATCTCATTTTCCTTTCCTATTATATCCTGAAACCCCCTAAACCCTCACCTAAAATCCTGCACTTGCGTTGTTTTGGCCGTATGTATGTAGAGAAGTTGTGTCAGGACTAAGGATGCTTCTAAAATTAACTGCGACACAGTGACAGCCGCTCCCACGGTAGACAAAAAAGTTTGCGCATTTAATAACAGATTAATTGATCTATATAATATGCATGTTCCTATTAAAAAAGCAAAGCTAAAGCGACTGCCAGCACCTTGGATGACAACAGAGATCCGCATTGTGATGAGGCCTAGAGACCGAGCCTTTCAGAAATATAGAAAAGTGCGGTGTGAGGAAAATTGGTCCATTTTTAAGAAATTTTTGCAAGAAATCGGTGTAACCAGATGATACGCAACGCGAAACGCCCATGTATTCTTAACAACGTCATATCAGTCTTCGCCCGGGGAAGAGGATATGAATATTGGTAAGAAGTCCCGTTCTGAGTTTCGGAAGACAATTGGTTTTGGATGACATCAATCAACACTTCTCTTCACATACACCTCTGGATCACCAAACCAAGTGTCAAACTGTTAATCAGTTAATGGGTTTACCTCGTCCTAATATCGCTCCTTTCCGCTCTCTCCACTAGCGACGAATGAGATCAGGAAGGTTATACTCTCCATTAAGTTTAATGCTATTGGTTGTGACAATATCAGTCGCCGTATGATTATTAATATTATAGACTATCTCCTTCCTGCTGTTTCCCATATAATTAACTTCTCTCTGGATTCTGGAGTTTTCCCGTCGCTGTGTCGTAAAGCTTACATTATACCTCTGCCAAAAATTTCTAATCGTTCTTTAACTAATCACTTCCGACCTATATCCATTCTTCCCTTTTTATCAAAGGTGCTAGAGGCTTGTGTACGCAAACAGTTATCAAATCAAATCAAATCAAATAATTTATTTGTAAAACATAGGTAAAAAGTTACAAACTTGGTGGAAAAAGGTATGATAAGTAACACTATGTTTCGCCTACAAAGGCATACATATATTTGTTTATCACTATCACCTGGCAATATGAATGATTGTATTACTTAATTAGTAAATTAAGCGGTAGGGTACAGTCCATTTGTTCGGGCTTCACACCAACAGCAAACAATTATTCGTTAATATTTGAAACGCTTAACAACAAATATGAAGATAAGCGAATGTTAGCCTCTTCATATTTAGACCAGATATTCGATCTTAAAGCTATATCATCCGCAAACATCACCGGCTTAGAGCAGTTTTTGGATAAATTTGTAGCATCGGTGGCTGCACTTAAGAACCTGAAATTTAATGACCTTATGGACGTGGTGTTTCTCCATATCGCCTTAAAGAAATTAGACTCGGACACCGTGCGTGCGTTTGAAATGGAGCACCGTAGTTCTGAGTTGCCATCATTCGATTTATTAGCATCCTTTGTGCGAGATCAAATTAAAGTGATACAGCGCTCCTCGAATGTGAAACAAGAAGTTAAGAAATGTGTCGACTGCAGACAGACTTCATCATCTAGAACCGCACGGTCTCTAACGTACGTAACCGCTGCGCGTGCATCGCTTCATAGCGCCTGTGTTCTATGTAAAAATAAACAACACGGTAATTTATATAATTGTGCGACCTTTCGTAAACATTCACCCAGCGAACGTTATAGAATAGTAAAGACGAACAACTTATGTTTGAATTGTCTAAGCGATAGACATTTAGTTGCTAAATGCAATTCTAGTTCCGTGTGTAACAAGTGCGCCAGCAGACATCACACGTTATTACATTTTGAAGGTGGTAACGTATTCACGTCGAGTAAATCGGACAAAGAAATCACACCTACTAAAATTGACGATTCTAGCGGTCGACCTGGTGACGTCGCTCTGTGCTCATTGTCGAATATGGGAACACAGTCTCCTTCCAGCGTGTTACTGGGTACAGCCCGTATCGTAGATAGGGATTCGCGTGGAAACGAACAAAGTGTCCGTACATTGCTAGACAGCGGATCCCAGAGTAGCCTTATAACGCGGCAATGTTGTCAGCGTTTAGGACTGCCAATAAATAAGATACCTTCATGTCCTGTTGTCAAAGGCATCGGATGTACTAATAAAATAACCCAGGGCTCTATAAATTTGAAACTTTATTCTCGGCTAGATCGTAACACTAACTTTAATATAAATGCGTTAGTAGTAGATATAGTCACTGAACGTCTGCCAACCGTCTCGGTTGACACCTCGGCAATGATTGATTTTGAAAATTTGACGCTGGCAGACGATACTTACGCCGTCCCCGGAGACATAGACATGCTCATTGGAGCATCGCTTTTCCCTCATCTTTTGTTACACAATAAGGTCAGGGGCAACTCCTCACATACCGCGCCTTACGCACTGGAAACCGTCTTGGGCTATGTCATCGTTGGCTCCGCCCCTATCATGGATAATATTTCGGCAACCTCTTATTGTTGTATGGCTGTCGAACCGCTCGAGTCGTTAGTCCGCAAATTTTGGGAGAGGAGGAAATTTTGGAGGAGGTGAACGTTCCACATATAGTTAGCCCAGATGATAGATTATGCGAGGATATTTACGTCCGCACAACCGTTCGTGATCGCGACGGTCGATATAGTGTAGCGTTACCCTTTAAAGGAGATGTTTTATCTTTCGGAAATTCGCGTCAAATGGCGGAAAAACGTTTCTACAGTTTGGAGCGTGGGATGCTCGCCTCACCCCGATTAAAGGAAGCTTATGACAGCGTCATTAAAGAATATATAAGGGAGGGTTACATATCACTTGTGGCTCCAAAATTAGACAACTACGAAGACACACCGTCGTATTTCATACCACACCACGGGGTCATTAGGGAAGACAAACTTACGTCTAAGTTAGTGTAGTTACGTGTAGTGCTCGACGTTAGTGCTATAACCAGCACTCACCTTTCTCTTAACGATATCCTCTATAGTGGGCAAAATTTACAGGGCAGTTTATTTAATATAATAGCAAATTTTCGTTTGTTCAGTATAGCACTATCCGCCGATATTCGCCAAATGTTTCTTTGCATAGGGGTCCGTGAATGCGACCGTCGATTTCAACGCATTTTATATCGCTTTGACCCAAAAGAACCTCTAATGGTGTTTGAATTTAACCGCGTTTGCTTTGGTTTAATGTCGAGCCCATTTCATGCGTTACGCACGATGAGACAGCTCGCCTACGATGAAGGTCCCTCTTATCCTAAAGCTAACAGGGCAATTGAAAGTTGATTATATATGGATGATTTTGTGTATTCGGTTGATAGCGTGGAGGAGGCCACCCTAACCACCGCCGAGGTTATAAAGCTCCTGAAAGCGGGTCGATTCAATCTCGTCAAGTGGACTAGTAATTCGCGTACGGTTTTAGATACAATCCCACTGTCACACCGTCTTTCGGCGATAGAGGTGGCCCCCGGAGCCGCTAGCTCTAACTCCAGCACATTTTTTGAATTTTACGCCTTTGAAGTATCTGCCCGCCATAGACATGGACGAGAACAAACTTAGCATTTCCGCACGCCATAAATTATTGGACCGGTTGGTGCAGTCGTTTTGGAAACGAACACAGCAACTGAACCTTTAACTGTCGGAACTGTGGTTGTGCTCACCAAGGAGAATACGCCGCCTCTCCATTGGCCATTAGGGATTGTCGAAGAAGTTTTTCCCGGTTCCGACGGGGTAATTAGGGTAGAACGCGTTAGGACCACGACTGGGTCTTACATGCCTCCTGTTGTCCGTTTGTGCCCTTTGCCCCTTCAATAGTTTAAATTAGCTTTTTAGATTAGAAATTGTAGTCGAAAATTAGGTTTAGTCTTAGCGTTTTTGAAGGGGACCCTTCAAGCCGGGGGGGGGATGGTTGCGCGGAAAACCATTCGTATTTTAATTTTATTCGAGGGTATGCTTGCCAAGCGTTGTCCTTTCCTTTACCTATCGTCCCTCTGTACACACCAGGGTGGAGGGTGAGAGGGGAAAGAAGAGATTCTAGAATGTTGCGTGATTCTCGCAACCAATGAGAAGCGCGCCCGACCGAGATGCATTGATAGGAGGGCAGAAGCAATATAAGCTCGCGCACGGCCCTCGTGCGCTCTCTTCCATCGCACCACCGACCAGGACCGCATCCCTGGGCCCCAGGAGATCCGCCAGAAGTCGCACCGCAGCAACAGAAGCGTCCAAACAGCATCGAAGTCACACCCCAGTAAGTATGTTTCTTTTTCCTATAACTCAATGCCTGCTTGAGTATTTGTTTGTTAGTTAACCCGTATGTATATATTTATACGCTTATATATGTATGAGTGAGTTTATAAATATGTGAATATTAATTGCTGTACATACTTCTTATTACACCTTCCTCTTTTATATCTGCACTACTCTAAGGCAGACTGGTAGATAATGCCTCAGGCATTAAGTCCGCCTATATACATCTAATGTTTATATGAAGTTAAATAAATAAATATGATTTTATTTACCCGAACAGAGCTCAAGCGAGATCTTTTCGCCGTAACGGTTAACCTGGCTACCGGGAATACTCTCTCACTTGGAGTGCTTAGCAGCAATATAAGGAAACGCTTTTTTTTACTGTTAAAATAAGACAATAAATTATCATCTTTTGGTTCTGTAGGATCAGCACTAGAAATGTAACGCCAACATTCTTGCTCTATTGGATTACCTTGAAACCGGCAAAACCGGTTACATTGCTGGTGCTTGTATTGCCTGCATTTTCGGCTAAAGCCTCTGGCTCGTTATTGACATTTATGACTTCTCTAATGTACGAGGAAAGGAAGGATATTCTGGTCATATTCTCGTTTTCTAGAAATGAATCAATTTCAGTCAGACTCATAAAGCGGTTATCCAATAGTGCTGCTGCAACAATGGGCTTTGTAACTGGTAATCTTTTATCCATTTTTTCCATCATGTTGCGTTTTATGCGTAACATTATTAGTACCTTATCATCTTGATTAGGCTTTAATACGTCTATAATCTCAGAACGGAACACCAGAGCAACATTCACTGTGCGTGTTTTCTGAGACGACAAAATTTCGACGACTTCGCGAAAGCTTCTCAAAAATTTTACCAGATCAGATCTACTCAGATCCACTCACTTTCAGTTATTCTGAGTTCTTCTTGGCCAATCTTTCTCAACATATTATTTATAGGTTCTTGGTTGCATACGTGGATTATACTTTCTAGCATTTCTAAAATCCTGTGCCAACGAGTTGGGGTTGCGGTTTTGATTGTTGGAATATGTTTGTAGTTTTCGGTTTCTGATGGTTAAGCCCTGTCTTCAATTTCGGTTTCTTCGGCATTTTCTAGTATTAGATCAACTTCGGGAACAGGGTTGCTCTCGTTACTTTCTAACGTTTCAACGAGCTTGCAACTCTGGGGCGCGATATCTCACAGCCTTGACGTTTTTTTTGCATTTCTGAACTAGTGCAATTTCTGGAACCAAGTTTATGCCATCGACTGTCACCAGGTGAAGCCCATGTTTAGACACAGATAGTGAGTCAAATTCGCCATCCTAACTGCTCGTTTCACATTACTTCCAGCATCAGTGACTGCAATAATCGCTTTGCCGTCCAATATAAACCTCTTCTTTATGCCCTCAAAAGTATCATTAATTTTTTCTCCGGTTTTTTTGCCAGTTATTATTTCTGTGCTCAAAGTCAAAGCTTTTAAGACAAAGTCTGAAAATAAAAATCATTATACTTAGTTGATCTTACTATTAAAGGTGATGTTCATTCTGTAATCTAGTTACTTATCTGTAGTTAAATAATTGAGATACTCGAAACTCAATTTTGGATACTCGAAACTCAATTTGGGATACTCGAAACTCAATTTGGGATACTCGAAACTCATTTTGGGATACTCGAAATTCAATTTGGGAAACTCAAAACTCCATTTGGGATACTCGAAACTCATTTTGGGATACTCGAAACTTAATTTGGGATAATCGAAACTCAATTTGGGATACACTCGAAACTCATTTTGGGATACTCGAAATTCAATTTGGGATACTCGGAACTCAATTTGGGATACTCGAAACTCAATTTGGGATACTCGAAACTAAATTTGGGATACTCGAAACTCGTTTTGGGATAATCGAAACTCATTTTGGGATACTCTAAACACAATTTGGTATACTCGAAAATCATTTCGGGACACTCGAAACTCAATTCGGGTACTCGAAACTATTTGGGATACTCGAAACTCAATTTGGGATACTCGAAACTCAATTTGGGATACTCGAAACTCTTTTGGGATACTCGAAACTCAATTTGGGATACTCGAAACTCATTCTGGGATACTCGAAAATCATTTTGGGATACTCGAAACTCAATTTGGGATACTCGAAACTCAATTTGGGATACTCGAAACTCAATTTGGGATACTCGAAAATCAATTTGGGATACTCGAAACTCAATTTGGGATACTCGAAACTCAATTTGGGATACTCGAAACTCACTTTGGGATACTCGAAACTCAATTTAGGATACTCGAAACTCAATTTGGGATACTCGAAACTCATTATGGGATACTCGAAAATCATTGGATATGCTAGTTGAACTTGATATGAAACTCAATTTGGTCTATCAATTTGGGATACTTGCTCATGGACTGAACTCAATTTGGGATACTCGAAACTCAATTTGGGATACTCCAAACTCAATTTGGGATACTCGAAACTCATTTTGGGATACTCGAAACTCAATTTGGGATACTCGAAAATCGTTTTGGGATACTCGAAACTCAATTTGGGATACTCGGAAACGCGTGTTCATCTATCCGCCCTAGACCACAGTATAAATATTAATAATAATAATAATCTTTATTGATAAACATATTACATGCACAAAATTTACAGTGGTCATTAGCACCCAAACTAGGATATTATACTTACCTGTCTTTCAGGGTCTAACTAAATAGTTGCCTAGAAATAATAGCTATTCTATTATAGCTATTATATATAAACGGGATGGATAATCGGAATTCATATATTATATATCATTTATAGAAATATGATATGTTGCCAGATCGAGTCGTCTTAGGTGGCTACCGAACCTACACCGGAGATTTTTTGCACCCCCTGCCCGGCTGTTTCAATGGTCGCCACCGTAGTCTGGGGAGACTGGGGGCCGTTGATTTATGTCGTTGCTCATGGGGGTCATTTAGTCATTTAGTTATTGTCAGTCATTTCCATAGTTGCCATGCCTGGTGAGCGGGTTGGCAACCACAGTTTTTTATTGCTTTTTGCTGTTATCAGAAAGATGCTGTTGCCCATCTTCTCTCTCAGTTTCCCTCTTTCGCCTCTTACGACACCCACGGGAATATATAGGGTAGTGGGTATTCTTGCCTGCCACTAAACGGGCGCGCAATACAAAATACATAAATATTATTTCAAATTCAAGAAATAATCTTTAACTGATGTAATATTCGTATTAGTCGTTCACCGTTTTTACTTTTACCTAACGAGGTTTGACGTTAATTAAGTTAATAGCCTTGACGTTCAACCCTGTCCCTGCCGGCTAGACACTATAGCTATAGCATATTAAATTAAGAAGCTATAAAGCTTATCTCCTGTGTGCAGTCTTTCAGCTAAGATCGAATTGCTTTGACATATTGTTTTTATTAAATTTAACCACATAGCCCTTTTCCATAACTGTTGACTATTTAACTTTCCTGGTGGTTTTTTTGGGTGGGTGGGGGGGGGGGGGGGGGTGGGGGGGGGGGGGTTAGGGGGTGGGGGGGGTTCTACGTCCTCTTCTGACTAGGATTCTTTTCTGACAAGAAGTCTCTTTCTAAGTAAGTATTACCCTCCTCCCTATTCGTGCCGCCAAAAAGCAATATTTCCGCTGGTTTGTTCCGGTCTGAAAAGTGTGAGAGCTATAACGTATCTTCTTTTTTCCCTCAGCCTTCTTTGTTTAAAGTTTATTGATGCAGGTGGACTACAAGTAAGCTTATAATTTCGGTTACTGTTTCATTTCGCTACCTGAGAATTCAAGTCTAACTTATGCATTTATTGAACATTATAAAGTTGAATTAAATATGCATCTTCAGGTGAAAAACTTTATTTAATTTATCTTTGTCAAGGCAATAACGTAAAACTTTTGCAAATGTTTAAATTTCTAATCAATAACTTCTACCATATTATGTTTGTAAAGGTACAAAGAATTACTAATTAGGTACACTTACTTGTATTATTTTACGTTTTATTTAAGTATTTATTTACACTAGTGAGTGGTAAGCGGGCACACAGTCCACATGATGGTAGTTACTTAGATGCTCTACATACATCCCTAAAAGTGCATTGCTAGAAAACTAAAGACCGATTTACACTTCGACAAGTACAGTAGCAAGTTAACTTGCGAACCTGGCGAGTTAAGTTTGAACCTCGTTTGAACGACAATAAGCGAGTTAAGTAGCAAGTTAACGATTAAGTTGAACAGGCCGAGCTATTTTTCGGCGAGTTAAGTGCGAAGTGCTGCCCTCCCGCGCGTCTCCCGCCACCCGCAACTAAACTCGCCGTTCGTGTAAACGAGCGAGTTTAGTTCAGTGTAAGTTGACAGGGCGCAACGTTTGCGCGCCAAAACGCACAATTGTACTTTTATAATGAAACTCGCCACAAAGTTTGTACGATACTGTTTATTGGATATTTATACGTTTTATATTGGGTTTTAATAATAAAATGGACGGAAGATGTCACTTATAAATTTGTACATGAGTATTTAGAACACGAATGTTTATATAATAGTAGAAGTTCAAATTGTAAAATTAAACCTGCTCGAGATGCTGCACTCATGAAAATTCTTAAAAATTTCTTTAACAACAACCATTAATATTTCTCTGATTGAATCATTTAATTCTTGTCATAATTCTAGAACCATCTTACACGAAAACCGGAAAAATTCTGTGGTCTTGAAACGTCATACTCCAACGAACTCTATGAACTAATGTCCTTAACTAAACTCGCCGCGAAGACATTGTTTGAACGCTACTGCCCACTTAACCGTTTACTGTCAACTGCCCTGTAACTAAACTCGCTACTGTACTTGTTGAAGTGTAAATCGGTCTTTACAACAACCATTAATATTTCTCTGATTGGATCGGTTTATTTTAATTCTTGACGTAATCCTAGAACCATCTTAAACGAAAACCAGAAAAATTCTGTAGTCTTGAAACGTCACGCTCCAACGAACTCTATGAACTAATGTCCTTAACTAAACTCGTCACGAAGACATTGTTTGAACGCTACTGCCCACTTAAACGTTTACTGTCAACTGCCCTGTAAATAAACTCGCTACTGTACTTGTTGAAGTGTAAATCGGTCTTTACAACAACCATTAATACTTCTCTGACTGGATCATTTAATTCTTGACGTAATCCTAGAACCATCTTACACGAAAACCAGAAAAATTCTGTAGTCTTGAAACGTCACACTCCAACGAACTCTATGAACTAATGTCCTTAACTAAACTTTTCACGAAGACATTTGAACGCTACTGCCCACTTAACCGTTTACTGTCAACTGCCCTGTAACTAAACTCGCTACTGTGCTTGTCGAAGTGTAAATCGGTCTTAAGATGAAATGCAACGTTGTTAGTAAAAAAGGTATACAGTTCTAACGAGAACTGTATATCTTATACTTTTTATATTCTTATACTGTATAATAACGATTAACCATACAAAACGCAGCTGAATTTAGTTGTTTATATTAGGTTGTTATATTCCGTGAGATTGTGATCATTTCTTATATCCTACAACATAGCTGCGATAAAAGAAAGCTGCTAATTCCTTGGTAGATGTAATCTTTTGGGCCCTTTTTTACTCATAACAAGTTAATTCATGGTAATTTAGAAACATAAACACGTTGAAAAGATTTAATAAACAAGCACCGACTTTAAAATAATTTATATCTATTCTAAAGTAAAGTATTAACAATATTCAAAGACGTTGAATAAGGTGGGCGATATCAGTTTGAATGACGGTAGTAAATTCGAGGCACATTTAGAATTAGAATTTTTGTGTAAGTGATAGTTTATTATTTAGTAGCTTTTTACCCGCCGCTCCATTCGCGTGGGCTTCAATTTAGGAAAATCATTATCACTACTAAGTATATCTACGTGTCGTAAGAGACGACAGCGAAAAACTGAACCGGAAAATAGGCAGTAGAATCTTCCTCTTAACAAATAAAAATAAAAAACAAAGGGTGCCAATCCGCTTGCCAAGCGTAACAAATATGGCACAGGTAATCTATAAGGGAGGCCTATATTCGGCAATGGAAGTTTATTAGGCTGAAATGGAACTGGTACCTAATATTGTATAATGTATTTCAATTTTACTATATTCTATTTATCTAACTTTTATAGTTTATTAGTGATCTGCCTCGGCCTCACACGGGTGTTATCTGAATTCTACAGCAGCGCCACCTACCGGGTCCAACTTTGCCTATAACCTTCGCGGAAGGTCAAGCAATATGATGACAAACTTTTACAGCAATCTGATGAACGGTATGGCAGCGCATATAATACGAACTAACAAAAATTAGTTTTTATATATTAGATTATATCTTTATTACTCATTTTATTTAGCAAACTATTTACCTACACCTGCCACAGTTTATCATAACATCCAGGTAGCAAACATTCTTTACAGGTCTGTGAAGAATGTTTGCTATAAGGCATTAAGTCCGACTTCCGATTCATATATGGTGTTGTATAATATATAGATTAAATAAATAAATAAATTCAAAATTTATTAGAACCTACATAAGACGACCCTTTACATTTTTGTCGTTGAATGTTTTTAAAGAAGGAAGAGAAAAAGCAAATATACAGTGTGTCTGGTGGTGAGTGAATGATGTATTTTTTATTAGTCAGCTCCACTACGGAAGGACACTCATCATCATTATCCTTCAGTAGTCTACTGCTGGATATATACGTGGTAGAGCCATGCTGCCTATTGCTGCATATTGTGGTTGTAGCACGAATGGGTCGAGATATATCGGGTTGAGATAGATCATAGAATACCAGCGTAATATAGCAGCTTAATACTGCTGTAATTCGTATGGTGAGTGTAGAGAACCGGTAACCTCTACTGGAAACGAGACATTCCACCTCAGTCCTCAGGGGTGACAATGCATCTGCGTTTTAATTCATAATTGAAGATAAATGTACATATCTATGGGCCACTGCATCCACTTACCATCAGGTAGACTATGTGCTCGTTTGTCATCCTTATTTCAATAAAAAAAAATATACCCAAGGCGCACCACATAGCCCGGTCTTCTTTTAGAATTATTTTGTTACCATGATATGAATATCATGGTAATATAGCAGCCCAGTACTGCTGTGCTTTGTATGGTCACAAGAACTGAAATAATCTCTTCGTTCATTCATTCATTACAGGTCATTTAAAATACTCTGCTAAATATAGACCTCCCATATAGATTGCCTCACAGGGAGGAATCGTTTTTTGTTATCTTCAGTTATTATCAAGAATATACTGCTGCGCATGTCCTGTTCCACTTTCCCCTCAGTGGATATTCTTACA